TGTAACCTTTACCATTGGTTTATTGGACTGCATAGTACATCTTTAATTCTGATTCATTTTACTCCAAAGTCAACTTTTAACCATTTTTTAGTGGTTAACATTGGTGCAATCACCTTGGCATCTTTTTTTAATCTGTATTTTAACTTTAATCAGTTTTCCCTTTTCACATTTGTGAGAGTCATCCTTTTTTATTGCATTTGTTCATGGGATGTAGGCATTGCTGGCAAGACACAGTATTTATTGTCCAGCCCTAATTGTACGACTCGAAGCATTGCAGTCCATGTGGTGTATGTGCACTTGTTATTGTGTACAATCTTCAAATTATAATCTTAACAATCTTAATTACGATCTTAAAAATCCGTATTTTTAATTACAAGGCAGCAAGTACAGAAACTATCTGTTACATATTTAAAATTCTAAAGTAATTAGAGAATGTGGAAACTACAAAAAAAACCTGGTGTCCACATTGTTATATGGTAATTTTAAGAAATTGCATACCTCCCACAATATTTATGCCATAATTTTAGTGTCTCCAAGAACATGAACGAAGAACTCCATGAAGAGGACAATGTCATAACATTATTCTGAAATGGAAATTAGTAGTTCATATTTTGTTGTCCAAGCTGTATAGTAGTCATTAGAGTAAATGAACATCGGGACTTCTGATATACGAAAGAGGAACCAGTTTTAAAGCCATAGTAATTTACGGCACAGGTGAACAACATTTGGCACATCAGTTTATGCAGCCTGTATATATTTACATAGCACCTTTATGCAATAAAATGCTCCTAGCTGTTTCACAGGAAAGTTAAAAAATAACATTCGACATGAAGCCTCTTGAGGAGATATTACATGAAAGACACACGCTGTCATCATTGCTTCTCCTACCCCTTCCAATGATGCATATCAAAGGGTTTGAAACAATGTTTCAGTCTGTGTTTTATAGAACATACCAACTGCAATGTTACCTGTTGTTTCTCCCAATGTTTTCACATCCACTGTTGATCTTTGCTGCACAACTCTGTTGAACCAATGATCGCAGTGTTCAACTGTCAATTGTGATGTTTCTCAAAGCATACACAATATGAATATACAGTAAAAGTGAAAAAGTATTCACACTGCAATAATAAGGTTATTTTAAGTGTATGGTTACATTGGAATTTTCCTCTGGATGATAAAATCATTAAATTATTTTTCTGTTCAAGGAATTATAGTTTGTTACCATTGTAGGTATAATTTTAGTGTCTGAATACTTTTGGTCATTCGAATTGCCATGTGATTGGCCCAATTGTTTCACAATTATGTATTCAGTGATGCTGTGATTAGTTTGTTTTGTTATGTTGTCTCATTATAATTATTTGCATTAGATGGTGAATTGTTCATTCATTGGAGAATATTTCTAATAATGAACAGATCTGAAGTCTTCTCTAGGGAAAACAGATAATATGTTCCAAAGAAGGGCCACTGGACTCGAAATGTTAACTCTATTTTCTCTCCACACATGCTGCCAGACCTACTGAGTTTCTCCAGCAATTTCTGCTTTTGTTTGACAGGATGTTTTTGTTTGGGAAGGTAGCAGTCGTTGAAAGATCTTGTATAATACCCAAAATTTTAGGAGCACCGTTCAGTTTGTTTGTTACCATATATATTTAGGATTTACGTTGCTTCTGGTTCAGCAACAACTTAACTTTAAAATTCTCATCTTGGTTTTCCACTTCCTTTATGGCCCCACCCTTTCTGACTTCCATAATTTCCTCCAGCCCTACAATTCTCCAAAATATCTGTGCATCTGTAATTGTGGCATATTGCATATCCCTAATGTTATTGCCGTGAGAACCAGTGAAGGATTTTTGCCTAAACATTAATCTCCAATTCCAGACGCTGGAATTGTTCTAATTCCTCATTTCACTGTTAATGGCTGTACCTTTAGGCACCAAGGCCACATGCTGTGGAATTTTCACCTTGAACATCTCTCTCTTGCCTGTCCTTTGTCCTCCAAAGTGCCTCTTAAACCCAAAGCTACCAGACTGAATTGCTGGTCATCTGACCTAATATTTAATTATACAATTTTCCAGTGAACTGTGTTTGGTAACACTCCCATGAAGCTTTGTGAGACATCTTACTTTGTTAAAGTGTAATTTAAATGCAAGTTTATGTTGTTTGTTACCCACGTGCTGGGACTAAGCTCTGCCTTGAATCAAGCTCTTAAGCATACTGCCAGGTAAATTCTGTTTGGCTATCTGAGAGTTACTTAATTGAGAGCTAATTTTTCACTTTTTTTTGGTACACAGAGAGTCTGTACAGTTTTATTTAGTGGTCTTTCTGTGAGAGCAGATGCACCCTAATTAAAACAAACTGACAGGACAAAGAGATTGTACTTCTAAGTATGTGGTTGAACCACGTCTTTAGAGTAAGAAAAGAAACACTGTTTAGAAGGAGAAAAATAGGGCAAGTACTGGAACTTTTTAAAAACATAGAAATGCGCTAGAATATAGAGCAGTTCTTCATCATCTGGAATTGGAGATTAATGCTTAGGCAGAGACACTTCACTGGTCCTGATGACAGTTAATAATATAGCATAGTATACCTAATTTTTCCTTTTCTAGATGTTGGTTTATTTCCAGCAATTGTTTTTATTTCCAATGCAGTTAAATAATGTCTATTGTAAAGGGGACAACTTATATACCCAATTAAATGTCATTATACCAGCTCATTTGCAAAACTGTTAATATTTGTCATTGTAAATAATGGTAAAGAGAGGTAAGTTTCTAAATTACCAATGCCAGTTAGTGAAGTCTTGACAAAGCAAAGAGAGGGATTACATCTTTCTAGAAATAAAAGTGCAATCAAACAGTAACTTTCACATGAGGGAGATGGTGATGTGATGGTAAGGTCACTGGACCAGTACTACAGAGGCCCAGACTAATACTCCGAGGACATGGGCTGCAGTCTCATCGTAGTAGCTGGTAGAATTTAAATTCAATTAATATATCCAGAATTATAAGTTGATCTCAAAAATGATGACCATGACAGTTAACGTTGATTGTTGTTCATGAGTAACCAGTCATCCTGGATATTATAGGACTGTTCTGTAACTATGTCACAGAACACTTTTTCCCATATTTCCAGGACATCAACTTGGAGACTAATCAAATGTTTCTTCTTGTCTCTCACGTGAAAATATTTGATTTTCTGGACGTGCCTGTGGCTTCCTCTATGGCCCAGACACCAGCTCTAAATCCCAGGTCTCATTACAGGACCAGGACCAGCTTCAGCTCATTTCACTCCAACTCCCAAGACTGGTTTCACCTAATCACCCCCTCACTCTTCTAAACTCCAGTGGATACAAGCCCAGCCTGTCCAATTTATCCTCATAAGACAACCCACACATTCCAGGTATCAGTCTGGTAAACATCCTCTGGAGTGCCTCATCCCTAAACAAGGAAACTAAAACTACACATCATATTCGAGATGTGGTCTCATCAATGGCTCGTAGAACTGGAGCATATCATTCTGAAATAATTACACAGAGGCCAGTATGCAGTCACCAGGTCACCCTTTATTCACATATGCACAGTACACTGGCTGTGGCCAGCCAGCTTGGAGTCAATCCCTGAAGTGAGGAGATTCTGAATCTCTTGTCTATTTTTTTTTCTCTTTTTAATGAAATAATTGCACAGAGGGCGGTATTCCATCACCAAGTGACCCTTTATTTACATGTGCACAGTATACTGGCTGTGGCCAGCCAGCTTGGAGTCAGTCCCTGAAGTGAGGAGACTCTGAATCCCTTGTTTTTTTTTGTTAATCTCCTACTTATATCTGTCACTCAGGGCTCCCTGATTGGCCCAGTTTAACAGCCCCACTTAAGGATTCCATAGTCAATGAGATCCATCCGGTTCTAGTCACTACACATTCTTTCTTTGATGTGCAAGTAAAGGTTCATTAGCTTTCTTGATTATGGGCTGAACCTATAGAAGAACATTTTGTGAGTCATCCACTAGAACAAATAAATTCTTCTACACTTCCAGAATTCTGCACTCATTTCCATTTAAGCAATGGTTTACTTTTTCATCCTGGTGCCAAAATGAACACCTTCACATTTTCCCACATTATACTCCAGATATTTGCCCACTTATTCTGTATTGGTCTGCAGCTTCCTTATGTTTTCTTCACAACATATTTTCCTACCTAGCCTGCTGTCATCGGTGAATTTACCATACCTTTACTGCCCTCACCTAAGTTATTAATGTAAATTGTAAGAAGTTGAGGCCTCGGTATAGATGCCTTATATCCTGCCAATCAGAAAAAGATGCATATATGCATACTCACTGCTTTCTGTCAATTTTCCAGTCTTCTATCCATGTGGTTATTACTCATACCATGAGGTCATATTTTCCACAATAACCTTTGATGTGACACCTTATCAAATGCCTTTTATAAACCCATATACAGTATGTCTACAGGCTTGCCTTTATCCACAGTACATCACTCCTATAACTGCAATGAATTGGTTTAAAATGACTTCCCTTTGACAAAACCATGCTGTCTCAATGATTCCTTGGTGAATTCTCCATGCCAAACCCTCAGCCAATCAGATTTAACTTGTTGATCAATCCACACCTGTTTCTCATGCAGCATAAATTTTGGTCCTTTTACAATTTGGCATTCTTGTATCTGTCCTGATGAGTGTGCGATGAAGAGCTTTGACAACATAACTTTTTTTCACAATAATCAAAAATATATGTAGTGTATTTTACACAGAATATACAACACAGAAAACAGGCTCTTTGGTCCAATTACAATCCTGGTATTAATACTCCTCAAGAGTCATCTCTTCTAACAATAACTAACATGACTACAAAATTTTAATGCACAATGAACACATACATGTACTCTTACAGAGTAAGTCAGCCCCATTGTAGTATGATTGAAAAGTTTGTACTAAATATTTTGTGTTGAGTCATCAGAGCTGGTTTCAGTTTTGTTTTCTTGTCCCACAGGTCTAGTTGATTCTGTCCGTAACTTATTTATTGAAACCACAGCTATCTATTTCGAAATGGATGATAAAAGTGGCTTGAAGACCACCAATAATCTGTTGTTATATCTAATTGATACCTTACATAACATGCTGACGCATATATCTAGTGTTGTCCGCTCTGCTTTGCAGGTAAGAACAGGCCCTGAGTGGCCATCTATTTCCAGATTTTTATTCGTCCTAGATTTAGTTCATATTTTTCTCCCCTTCAGTAATTTGTTTTGCTTGTTTTTTCTTGGGTTTTCTTAGTAGATAAAAGGCATGGATACTCCTTTCCCAGCTTATTGGACAATGGGCAAGCAATGCCAAGTATAGTTTGCCTTTGTTTGTCTTCATTGCCGTGGGGCAGGGCATATCCCAATCATAATGTTTCCCAGAATTCTTGATTAGAGTCAAAGAGTTGATAGGATAAACCAACAGTATCAGGAGAGAAGAACCCTCCTTAGAATCTCAAATGTGGAACAGAATATCCGTCAGAATTATCTAGTTATGAAAACAAAGAATATAAATAAATACTTGGTACCAATGGGAAGGGACGGTGGCTCAGTGGTTAGCACTGCTGCCTCACAGCGCCAGCGACCCGAGTTCAATTCCACCCTTGGACGACTGTCTGTGATGAATTTGCACATTCTCCCCTGTCTGTGTGGGTTTCCTCTGGGTACTCTGGTTTCCTCCTACAGTCCAAAGATGTGCAGGTTAGGCAGATTGGCCATGCTACATTGCCCATAGTGTTCAGGGATGTGTAGATTAGGTGGGTTATGAGGGGATGGGTCTGGGTGGGATGCTCCGAGGGTCGGTGTGGACTTGTTGAGTCAAAGGGCCTGTTTCCACGCTGTAGGGATTCTATGATTCTATGAAAACACAAAATGGGAGTCATCGTCTATGTTTTATGTGAGGATCCCTCTGTACCACAATGGAGAGAGTATTCGTTGATGGTTTGATTGATTCCTGGGATGACCTATGAAGAGTGATTGAGTAGAATGGGCCTGTACTCTTTGGAGTTTAGAAGAATCATTGGTTTGACTAGATTGTAATACCAAGCTTAATCTAGAATGTGCATCTATAAGGTAAAAGTTCCTGCCTGGGTAGAGAGTACAGGTAAATGCCAGCATGGTACATCATCTGAGGATCCTGCATCAGCATCCTCAGAGGTGGTGCATGAGGTGGAGCACTGGGAAGCTGTTTCCTGTTCTTACTTTTTGACTTACTGCAAGAGCCTGCAGTAGAATGCAAAAAACATTAGCTGATGCATATACACCTTGTGCCTTACAGAAAATACCCACATCCCACAAAAGAATATAGGAAGAAAAAAGACATGTTCACAGAGGTTTGAATACGCAGTGTTTTATGCAAATGGATGCTAAAAGGTCAGCACAGGATGTTGTCTGACATCATATCTTGTAACTATAAATTCAAACTCTCCAGTTCTGCCTTGAAAATGTAGAAAAAAAGCAGAAACAAAATGGGAAGAAATATCAAGAATATTACTTGTACTCTTAAACCAAATGCTTGCAATCCTGTTCAGCCTAACTGGCCACCCATCAGTGACAAAGTACAAAACAGTGTGGGGTGATGAAGATGTATAGCCCAGTAATAATGCAGTGCTGAAGGGCATATTGTTGTCATTATCTGAGAATGCTGAACTGCCACACATTCTTCAGCCAGTAACTTTCTAGCAATGAAAAGTGACATTATCGTATTCCAATTACGTCTGCTGGCTTTGAGCAGTCAATATGTGGTGGACTCATAACATTCATTCTTGGCCCCTCGAGAATTACATTCATGGGAAATTCAACTAATAAGGGTGCAAGCTACAAATTAATTCTATGAGCACAGATATTTGATGTAAATGCTGCAGCCAGAATCTCTGTGGGATTACTCCAGTCTCCCATAATAATTGCATAAATGGTTGAAATTGGCTATTTGTACCATTTCTTCTATTCTCCCACTTAATTTATGATGGGAACCAGCACAACCCCTTGGTAGATTGAAGGCCAGTATTTCTGCTTCAGCCTTTTAGAAAGGAACTGGCACATGAAATAGTTGAATTCAGTCTCTTGTCCAGTCATGCTGTTGTACATGGGACATGATTAACAGTAGCACAAACACACTTTGCTGGCAAAGACTGCCTTCTATGTGTATCTATTTAAACTGCATAAATCCTAAATTAACAATGTTCTCTTGAAGATCCAGTTAAAGGTAGTAGTAACACCTTCACCATAGCATACTAGAATATAAGTCTTACACTAAACATTTCACAGTGAAAACATGCTCTACCAGCCTGCCTCTGTTTCACCTCATTGCCACCCACCAAAACTTCGAAGTTATCAAAATCCATGATAAGCCTTTGAACAACATGGTCCATTTTCCATACCTTGGGAGTCTGCTGTCAACAAGGGCAGACACTGACGCCAATGTTCAAAAAATTCCCTCCATACCTGGATCAACCTAGTGAACCGTCTCTGGTCTGTCTCAAATGCCAATATATCTCTCTTTAGATAAGGGGACCAAAGCTATTCACAGTATTCCAACTGTGGTCTGGTCAGTGCCTTGTATATTTTTAGCAAGTCCTCCCAATTTGCATACTCCATTCCCTTTGAAGTAAAGGCCAACGGTCCATTTGCCTTCCCTAATACCTGCTGTACTTGGATGTAGCTTTTGTGATTAATGCGCAAGGACTTCCAAATCCCTCTGTGCTGCGGCTGTCAGTAGTTACCCTATTTAAATACTATTCACCTCTTCCATTCTTCCAGCTAAAGTGCATAACTTCACATTTCCCATATTACTCCATCTGCCAAATTTTTGCCCACTCACTTAACCTGTCTGTATTCCTCTGTCGACTCCTTGTGTCATCCTCACTACTTTCCTTCCCACCTATTTTTGTATTAATGCAAACTTGATGATAGAACATTCATTTCTGTCATGCAAGACATTAATATATATTGGGAATAATAGTGGCTCCAGCACTGATCTCTGTGGCACTCCACTAGTTACAGGTTGCCGGGTTGAAAATGCCTCTTAACCCAAATCTCTTCTTCTATTAGTTAGCCAATCCTCTGCCCATGCTAATATACTACCCCAAACCAATGGGCTTTTATTTTATTTAGTCACCTAATATACAATACCTTATCAAATGCATTTTGGAAATGCAAATGTACTGCATCTACTGGATCCCTTTTACCTATCATGTTTGTTATCTTCTCAAAGAACTGCAGTAAATTTATCAAGTATGCTTTCCCCTTCATGAGGCCATACTGACTCAGCTTGATTATATTATGAATTTCAAATGCTCTGTTCTTACAACCTTTATAATGGACTTGACATTTTCCCAACAATGGATGTTAAGCTAACAGGTCTTTAGTTACCATTTTTTTATCTCCCTCACTTTTCAAATAAAGTTGTTACATTGACAGTATTCCAATTGTCTGGGACTTAAGACCATAAGACATAGGAGCAGAAATTAGGCCATTTGGCCCAACGAGTCTGCTCCGCCATTCAATCATGGTTGATAAGTTCCTCAATCCCATTCTCCCGCTTTCTCCCCGTAACCCTTGATCCCCTTGACAGTCAAGAATCTATCTATCTCAGCCTTATATGTACTTAATGACCTGGCCTCCACAGCCTTCTGTGGCAGTGAATCCCATAGATTCACCACTCTCTGGCTGAAGAAGTTTCTCCTTATTTCCATTCTAAAAGGTCTTCCCTTTACTCTAAGGCTGTGCCCTCGGGCCCTAGTCTCTCCTACCAATGAAAGCATCTTCCCAACATCAACTCTGTCCAGGCCATTCAGTATTCTGTAATCTAAGGATTTTGGAAGAATCCCCTATTTCTTCAGCTACTTCCTTTAAAATCCTAGGATGCAACCCATCAGGTTCTGTATTTTGGGTGATAATCTGTTGTACTTTTTGTTAAATTACTTTTTACATCTTAAGGTTTCCCTTAACTCAAAGGCTTGTATCAGTTTATGGGGCTTGCTGCCTTTGTCATTCTTGACTTGGCAGTTGTCGATCTATATTAATTTCTCTGATTGACTTCCCCTTTCCCCTTGTAAGAAAGCAAATCCCCTCAAGTGACCATAGTGATGTAAGGAAATTACTGTGGGTAGAATCACATGGCACTGAGCAATCTTTTGTGAAGACACTGCCTTATGTGACCATCAAGGCATACTACTGTTAGCACAGTATCATGGTACAGTTGCAGGCAGTGCATTACTTTATGAAATAGTCATAATCATAGTCACTGTTGCTAAATGGACAAGCTCAACAGCTGAATGGACACAGCTAACACTAAATAACCTGTTCTGTATGGTAGGTTGAGCTAGAATTGTTGGCTAAGATCCTGCAGGATTTCTTGCTCCTCTTCAAACAGGATTTCTCATGCCAACGGTGCTGGTGGACAGCATCTCAGTCTAGTATCTCAATCAAGTGATGTTTTATATAATTCAGGACCTGTGTTTCTGGATCAAAATCCTGAAACTTTGTTTGTAACATCCCTGTGGATCACCTGCTCCCTGCAATAGGTCAGATGTTGTTAAATTTGAAAGGATGCAGAAAAGATTTACAAGGATATTGCTGGGGTTGGGAGGTTTGAGCTATAGGGAGAGGCTGAATAGGCTGGGACTATTTTCCCCATAACGTCAGAGGCTGAAGGGTGATTTAATAGAAGTTTATAAAATCATGAAGGGCATGGATAGGGTGAATACCCGAGATCTTTTTCCCAGGATAGGGGAGCCCAAAACTAGAGGGCATAGGTTTCAAGTGAGAGGAGCCCAAGGGACAACTTTTTCATGCAGAGGTTGGTGTGTGTACTGAATGAGCTGCCAGGGGAAGTGGAGGACGCTGGTACAATTACAACATTTAAAAGGCATCTGAATGGGTATATAAATAGGCCAAATGCTGGCAAATAGAACAAGATTAATTTAGGATATCTGGTCAGCATGGACGAGTTGGACCAAAGGGTCTCTTTCCGTGCTAAATGACTCAATGACTCCACTAGAAGGACTGCAGCAGTTCAAGAAGGCAGCCCACTGCCTCCTGCTCCAGGGTAATTAACAATGGGCAAAAATGGTGGCTTTGCCAGCAACACCTATAGCCCATGAATGATAAAAAATATTACATTAAAGTATAGCCCATGATTGGGCTGGAGGTGATATTTTTTAAAGTTATTAAATGCTAGAGGAAATATCCTTAATATAATCAGCAGTGAGGAAATCAAGGTGTATTGCAGGTACTCGAAGAGGTAAGCCAGCTTCACTTGATATAAGAAAAAAACCGAAAGAGCTGCAGATGCTGGAAATCAGAAACAAAAACAGAAAATGATGGAAAAAACTCAGCAGGTCTGGCAGCGTCTGTGGACAGAAATCAGAGTTAATGTTTCAGGTCCAGTGACTCTTCCTCAGAACTTCTTTCCACAGATGCTGCCAGACCTGCTGAGTTTTTTTCCATCATTTTCTGTTTTTGTTACTTGATATTAATACGTTTCTGTTGGAGGGCTGATTGCATGTAACATAACTGGGCAAATGGTGACATACATCAAAGCAGATCTAAGTTAAAGAAGATATATGAAGACATTCATGTGAAGTGAAAAACAGACTTGTGGAAATACAGGATGGTGAAGCCAGAGGAGTTTTAATGATGGACCATAGCATGCAATGATACTTATATCAATCATGGGCTTCATGTTAATGTAATTTCATTTTTGTTCATGGGCTATAGATGTCATTGGCAAAGCCACCATTTTTGCCCATCCCTAATTACCCCGGTGAAAGAGGCAGTGAGCTGCCTTCTTGAACTGCTGCAGTCTTTCAGGTGGAGGGAGATCCACAGGGATTTTAAGACCAAAGTTTCAGGATTTTGACCTAGCAACAATGAAGGAACAGTGATACAGTTCCAAGACAAGATGGTGTGAGACTTGGAAGGGGACTTGCACGTGATGGTCGTGTTCCCATTCATCAGTTGTCATTCTCCTTCCAGATGGTAGAGGACACAATTTGGAAGATGCTGTCAAAGGATGCTTAGTGAATTACTACAACGCATCTTATAGATGTTACACATTGCTACACTGTGTCAGTGGTGAAGGGACAGAATGTTTGGATGGGATGCCTATCAGTGAGCTATTTTGTCCTGGATGGTGTGAAGCTTCTCTTGTTGTTGAGACTGCACTAATTTAGGCAAGTGAGGAGTATTCCATCACTCTATTGTTTTGTGCCTTGTAAATAGCGGACAGGCAATAGAGAGACAGGAGGTGAGTTACTTGTCATAGAATTCCAAGCCTCTGACCTGCTGTTCCAGCTACAGTACATGAATGGCTAGTCCAGTTCTATTTCTGGTCAACGGTAACCACTAGGATGTTGATAAGGGATTACCATTGACCAGAAAGTATCATTAGTCTAGAGTTTATTTAATACTATTGTCCCATGTTGCAAATGGCTCTGTGATTTTAAAGTGGCAAGTATAGAATCATAGAATCCCTACAGTGTGAAAGCAGGTCATTTGGCCCATCAAGTTCACACCAACCCTCTGAAGAGCATGCCTCCCAGGACCCTCTCCACCGTATCCTTGTAACACTGCATTTCCCATGGCTAGTCCACCCAACCTACACATCCCTAGACACTATGGATAATTTAGCATAGCTAATCCACCTAACCTGCACATCTTTAGGCTGTGGGAGGTTAAAATTCAAGAAATTATGTGAGCCCAAATTCTCTGTGAAACAATTTGCAGGAATACATAAGTTGTGTGTCATTCACTGTTCTGTTAATACTACAGCTGTCTTATATAGCCTGTGGCTCATGCAGGTGTGCAGACAAGAAAAAGTGAATATTTACAAGAGACATGCAAATGCCACCTGGGAGGCCTAAGGCTATTTTTATGGTTTGGTGAGTTATTCTCTCTAAACACATACCTTATAACGGACATAGTGGTAGTATTTATGCCACCCAACATCTTTTGAAGTTGTTATCAGAGAACTTCCATCGTTCGTAAACAACCTTTAATTAATGTTTCTGTCTATTACATCTGCCTGAGAAAGATCCACCCTCGCAAATCTTTTCACGCAGTGAAATGATTGCTTCACTGTGTAAGGATTAAAAAAACAAAGAAAATTCCTTTGTAACAAATGTATTTCGTGAGCGGCTTCCACAAAACTGCAAAATCATGAGAAGCTGCATTGTTTCATGTCTATGGTGAATGGCTCTGCAACTACAGACTTTGCTCAGAAGAGCTAAATTGTTAACAAGAGAGTTCAGTACACTCCAAAGTAGTGATGCACACACAAGGTAATTGCACATTGGGATTTATTTGGGATGAAGAACCATTGAGGTTTATCAGACAAAAGTACAAAACTCACCCATCATGTCTGTGCCTTCTCTCGGTACAGACATTCAATACAAATTCCATTACCCCTTTTCCTCTTCGTCGTCTTGATTCATCTTCTGTTTCAAGTGTCTATCCATTGCTTCTTAAAAGCTGCATTGATCTGTGCTTCAAATTCTCTATGTGACAAATCATTCCATGCTCCAAGAATCCTTTGTTTCAAGATATTTTTCCCCTCATCTTTATGCTCACCTTCTTAAATCATTCTAAATTGGCAACTGCTCCCACAGCTGCCCATCATTGATTTTCCCAACCAATATAAGCAATATTTTGATTGGAACAAATCACTTTCTGTTTACAAATGTAAACAATTCACTGCATTAAAACACTTCATATAGTTTTTAAAACCACTAAGCCTTCTCCACTTGAGTAGAAATAGTCCATGTGTCTTCATGACTGTAGACAATTATAATTTATCATATCTGGTGCCATCCTAGTGAATCTAAGCTGAACATCATCTGTGGCTTTGTTGCCCTGATTGAACAATGTGGAACCAAAACTGACTGCAGCACAAACAGATAAACACATGATAATGATGAGAAGGAAAAGACCAGCTTTTCGATTGAGCCTACCTCATATAGTCATGACATAACTGAACATCAGGAACCCGAATACTCCTCTTCATCCATACTCATCTTGGAGGCACAAAAGAAACAGTGAAAAGCCCGATTGATTCCTAAAGGTGATTAAAGTGAGATCCAAAATATTGCAATAAGCATAAGATAAATCATCCAATACTCCACCTACCCTTTATTCATTGTGATGTAAATTTCTGCCCGGAACTTTCCAACTCCCTTTTTGAACACTTGCAGCAAATCTACACTCAACTGAACTAACTTAAGCCAATAACTCGATCCAAAGTCAATTATCCTTTGCAAAGAGAAAAACCTGTTATCCAACCTCGTCCTTTGCTCAGTTACATACAGTTAATATAGGTGACATGCATATTAGTTGTAATTAATTATATGCAATGAGCAATGAGCATAAACTGGAGATTTGCATGAGTTTCTATGAATAGACCCTGACAGAAATAATGGCTGTTTGATTAGGAATTTATCTTTATTGGCTCATGGGATGTGATGCCTCTGGCTTGGCCAGCATCAGCCCTTCCCTGAATTGGCATTCCAAAAATTTGAAACCCCAGGAATGGTGTCAGGACTCTCAGATTTGGAACTCACTGCCATTTTTAAAAGGTTCCAAGTCACCTCAACTTGGTGAAGATCTAGGGCTACACCTTCAAAAACAAGGGACTGAATCTATTTCATTGAAATATCTGCAAATCTCTCATTGTTTGTTTTTTTTTTGTTTTTAATCTGATTTGGATTATCTCTAAAACTTACAGCACTTATGGGATCTTTGTTTACTTGCCTTCTTATGAATCTTGGGTGCAGTGGACTCAACTTGCCATGATTATCACACAATTTGCTAATTTCTGTTCGTAAAATGTGATTGGGGAAATGCCACAAGCATGATTATGTTACAATACAAATGTCAGTAAGACACCATAAATTAATTAGCTAATTATGGATGGAAACATTTCCCTATACAGAAAGTATTATGAAATATGTTTCTTGCTGTCTTCTGCTGACATTTTTCACCACCTACTGGGACTCATTTGTATCTCAAAAGAGCGCACACTGCAAGATTCCTTTTCATTTCTGTTTTCTCATTAAGGCTCAGAAGTCAGATGCAGGAGGGGACACCCAGGCTGCTGAGGAACTTCTGCTTATCAATAAACCCCTGACAGACTTAATTAGCCTGCTTATTCAACTGGTAAGAATTCATTTCATTTCTGGATTGAGGGAGTGTTGGGGTTTGCTCAATCACAGTGATGCTGTTTTGCACTTTTTCACAGGTAGAGTGAACCACAATATTTATTGGTAGAATACTTTCAGGCCAGATAAATTAATAAAAGCCATCTTAAATAACATTAAAAGATTGTTTCTCAACATGTTTCAATTAATATCATATTTAACACTAAAGGTGAGCCTAATATTGGTACTGAATTACCAAAAGTCTGTACTGGTCTAAAGACAGTAGGGGAGAAAAAAACCACATAAGGCTGTGTTGGCTCAGTACAGGGTTGACACTGCAAGTTACTTTGAAAAAGTATTCCAACATAGCTTTGGTATCACTGCTAGCAGCCTTCACTGTATCCAAGCAACAAGAAACCAATGTTCAGCATCTAGACTTCTGCATCACCAATGGCACAATTATTTTTTTTTACTTATACATATATTTTTTATGAGCTACAACTGAAGTTGAAACAGGGTCTATTCAGATTATTCTCTTTACCTGGGTCAGAATAATCATGAGATATTCAGTTTGTTAATTTTAGTAGCTTTTTGTTTTGCACCCCTTGAAACCGAAGCATATTTTTAAAATCTAAGTATCAGCACACAACAATTTCTTTCCAGCTCCTTTTTTTATGTCCCCATCTCGCAGTCAGGGATTGCTCTACAATGTAAGCAGTCTGCATGTACCTTGTCCAAACGGTCATTCTTCATTGAAGTCTTGACAGAGTCAAGGATGGAGGGAAATTTTCCTCTCTACCACTTGGGTAGAGAGTAGCATTAGGGTACTGTCAAATAGGATAGTAGAATGTAGAATTCACATGGCATTTTAATGAATTGGTGATAAATCATGGAGGCTGCCTCGAGGGTATGCACCACTCTCTGTCCAATTTACCTATCTGCTCTCCATCTGTGCAATTCTTTATTCCCAAGTATGGAAATAAACATTCTGCCCCAATAATTGCTCGAAAACAGTTCGGGCAGTGGAGAGGGGTGGGGATGGGCTAAAGGCAAAACATATCCTTCCAATCCTTTCTATGTTATTATGAAGGCACTTGATAGTGGGTCGAGTGGAAGGACCTGTCAATCGCTTGCTCTGGAGCTGCTGACATAAATGACAATTCTGGACCATTACTCTTCCTGACTTCAGCGCAGATGAGCAATTAATTTCATAGATGCTTTGAACTGTGAGGCTCAGTGGCACACAGGATTATGCTCAAATTTTCAAAGTAGGTTTTACAGAGATAATAGTTGATGGTGTGAAACCATAGGTTAGTTTTTCTTAAAGATTGTAATAGTGAACCATTGTCTTCTAGATTCATCACTGGTTAATTGAACATCTATGACTATGGAACCTGCTTTGACAACCCTGCCTTATGTCATGTGAAGCAAATTCACATTTCATCATTTGTTTAAGATTTTCACATGCGTGTCTACACCTTTTCAGGAGTATTCAATTTGCTGTTTTGAAAAAAAGCAGAAAATGCTGGAAAAACTCAGCAAGTCTGGCATCATCTATACAGAGGGAAGGAGGTTTGAGTTAGAAATGCAAGTTCCTTTAAGGCTCAAATAGATCAGCTCCAGAGTTGGTTGATAGCACACAATGCTCATTGAAAACATAAACAGAATTTGCTGGAAAATCTCAGCAGTTCTGGCAACAACTGTGGAGAGAGATCAGAGCTAACGGTTCAGGTCCAGTGACAGTTCTTCAGAACTCATGGTAGCTAGGAAAAAGTTGTTTTTTCATGCAGAACATAGTTGGGGTTGGGGGGGCGGTGGGGTGGGTGGTAGCGGAATGAATAAACGATGGGTGGAGATAGAGTCTAAACAAAGAGAACAGCTGGACACACAAAAAAGTGGATAACAGTTAGCCTAGGAGAATGAATAGCTCCTTTTGGAGACTATTAGTGGCAAACAATGGGTAGTGTGTAATAGCTGACCATGTGATAACAAGGCTACAGCCTTCTGGACTCAATATCGAGTTAAACAATTTAAGCAATTTTAGGAACACAGCAGGAAAGGCAGCAGGTCGCTTAAAATCCCTATAACAGGAACTCCCCACCTACATTCAGGACATTACCCACGTCCTCCACCTCCTCCAGGACTTTCAATTCTCTGGCCCCCAAAACCTCATCTCCACCACGGACATCCAGTCCTATTCACTTGTATCCGCCACGCAGATGGCCTGAAAGCCCTAAAGAGTCCTGATGACGAGTCGAGGCCCAAAACGTTGACTTTCCTACTCCTGTGATGCTGCTTGACATGCTATGTTCCTCCAGCTCCACACTGTATCAAGAATAAAAATAAGACTACAATGACTCAGAGAATCAGAAGGAAGAGAACTTAGATGACTGGGTAAACATCCAAGGACTGTGTCCCTAGGAAGATTCTAATACTTGCCAAGAACAGCAGCTGAAGAATCAAAATGAGAGCAATACATAGTTTTAATACAAAACAGCGAAATTGATAGATTTACATTTGATAACTGGACATACCGCTGAAGTTAACTGAAGATCTGAGCTGCTGGCTTATCATGAAAATTTAAAAAGCAGATCTTTGTATTTTTGCACTGATTTAATAGTGATGGTATTATATTGAAACATATGGCAGATCAGAGGCAAAGTGAAAGAGAAGAAAGATAAAACCATAAGAAATAGGAACTGAAGTAGGCCATTCAGCCCCTGAGCCTGCTCTGCCAGTCACCTCCAGAGTGTACTGTAAATCAGTTTGACAGTTTTTAAAGACAATTGTGCTGGAAGATTTAAAATGAAGAGCTGAATTCACAGGCTGTAGTCTTGCAGTGGAAATGTCCCTATTTCTGAACCAAGAGGCCCAGGTTTAAGTCCCACCTGCTCCAGAAGTGTGCAGTATCATCTCTGAACAGGTTGGTTAGAAAACAAAATTTAAAAAAGAGCTCTTGTGGTGCAGTGGTGGTGTCCCTACCTGTGAGCCAGACGGCCTGGATTCAAGTCCCACCTGCTTCAGGGGTGTGCAATAACATCAGTGAACAAGTTGATTAGAAAATATCTTAACAGTAGTGTTCAGTCCAACACCATTTTAATTTAGCTCCTCCCTCTTTTTCCAATCTCCCCTATCTTTGTTACTGTTGGAATGGCCTGGTGGGCTTGCAAATCATTAATGTAATTAGTGACACAGGTGATTTGGTAGTAGTATATTTGAAAATATGTATTGAGCTCTTTAATTGATTAGAAAACTTGATGATGTGTTGCTAAGAATACACAAAAAAGGCTGAGCCCTTAAACAAAAATGATAAGAGCTGAGTTCTTCCCCAGTGTGGTTTGGTTTATGGTCAAGGAACGGGTCCAGAAGGGAAAGGTGAAAAATTCTGTTTGCTGTTTACAAGAAAGCTTTTCTAAACCTCCAAGTTTTTTGCTGCTGAACTCAACCTATGGATATTGGCAACTAAAACAAAAGAGTTAATGATTTGAATCCGAGACAACAAGGTGCAGGGCTGGATGAATGCAGCAAGCCAAGTAGCATCATAGGAGC